TACTAACTTGTAATAGTTCTTTACTAGCATCAGCTGATGTACTTTTAAGAATTTTAATGGCAACATGATACTCAGCTTCATCATTGTCTGGTTTCCAGTAACCCTTTGAGTGTTTCCATTATGATTATAGGTTAATGGTTGTGTTCTCACCTCATATACTGTACCAAATGTTCCAGAACCTAGCTCCTTCTTAAACTCTAATTCAGTTTCTGGTATTACTGTCAATTTTGTTGCACCAGGAGGTACTATAAATTGATAATGAATGAAAATGTTTTAAAGATGCAAACTTCATTACATATTTCTAGCTCAGCACTATTATTAGACTTCCTATTTTTCATAAATGAAAATAGTATCAAGATTAGAATGACCAAAACTGTTAGAGTGATTAATATCAGCCGTCCAAGTATTGACCCAATCACAGCTTCAATTGATACACTAGAGCTAGTAGTAGAATCTACTGTAGCTGGAACACACTGTACTGATTCAAAAATCTCTGGAGTAAACATAACATGTAATAATTATGTCAGCAAATCATTGTCCATTATTTTACCTCTCATTGGGTCACATTGATAAACACACGAGCCATTAGTGCCTCTGATATATGAGCATAGAACACAATCACTAACTGAAGGCCCACTGCATGTTGCACAAAGCTCATGACAGGAATGACACAAAACAGTACCAGTAAGAAAAATACCACGGTCCTCTGACAACTGTTCACGATGATAGCCAGAAGGACAGGTTACATTCCTCTGACACTCAATCTACATCCAATTAAGTATATAAAGTTATGATAAAGCTTATAATGACAAACTTGATCTCCATTTTTATCAAGTACAATGGTATCACATGACATACAGCCATTACTGTCATTGAATGTCTTTCCAGGGCCAGCACAGCCATAGCCAAGACTACAACCATTAAAACAAGGGAGGCATTCACCTGAAGAACATTAATTGCAATATGCACTTCATATTCATACTCACCACTAGTGTGATCATCAGGTAAGTAAGTGTCACCCACACATGACTCCAGACACAGTTTACCTACTCCAATACTTACATTCACAAAGAAATTGGTATTGCAACTACTACAATTGGCAGGACCATGTACATTCATACTAGATATACTGAATAAACAATCTATATATACCTCTCCAACACAGGAACCATTACAAAATGAGTGACAAGGTAAGCACGTATTGTTAGCATTATGATTAAATAAGTGACTAGAGGAGGAACAAAATATAAAAAATACATAAAACCTTTATTTTAAAACCTAAAATACCAACATAATATTTTTAGTATGTAAAATACACTATTATCAGTAGATCTAATAAACTTGTGTGGACTATGAAACTAAATTCTGATGTTATTATGCTCTTTGCATACTTTGATAGTAAAATAATTTTGTTGCTTTATTTTATCAACAAAAATTATGTGTGAACTAATCTAGATTACTAACAGACATACATACACAACTATATAATAAATTACATGAAATTTGTGCATAACATTTCTACCCACACAAAAAATAGACATGTCATAACTAACTTTGTCACAACATACTAGCATTACCCTCATGTTTATCATGCTCAAAATTATGTAAGTTTAATCTCTCAAGCAATCTTAATCTTGTGTGTAGATTTTGTTTAAAATGAATTTTTTGCAGTGTTTAAATTTCCTTCAAAATTGGGTCAGAGTCATTTTAAATAGAGTATCATTCTATTTAGGAATCTTTAAAGTTGGTTTGAATTTGGCCTATAAGGACATTGGCTTTATTGAATGGTAGATGCCATCAAATTCAAAAATGGCCGGTAGAGAATTATCCATTTTTACTATGCATATACAAATGCATATGTTTAGTTGTGGTTTGAATCTGATCAAATTTTGTATGAATGTTTAAAACTGTTTAAATAAACAATAATACATCAAACAACCAACCATTTCATTAATTTTTTGATACATAAGCAATTGAGCATCTATATCTACATACCGTAAATTAGGAAATTTTCGTATTAAGAATAATTGGTATGAAATTTTTTCAAGGCGTTTTGTTTTTGTTGGTTGACCCGTCAACAAAATATTTCAACATGAAAATTTTTTGGATGTATCAGAAACTGGACACATGGCTATGTGGTTATTAATTCTTGATGACAATGGATGCAGGAAGTTGCTCGTGACGGCAATGAAACTGACAAGGTTCAAGGAGCCTCTTGGGTGAGAGCTTCAGGCCTTCTTTGGGTTTTTAAAACAGCCTCATGTGTATACTGCTGCACGTTAGAATAATTTCAGTAATCTTATTATTCGCTGTAGAAAATATTCTGTGTTAAAATTTTATGGGTCATTTTAACCACAAAAATATTTCAACAAAAATTTCCAAAATCTACAGTAATCATGTTGCATAAAAAATTTGATTATGAATCCTTATGTACTTAGTAGTGAAATATTTACAATAATTAAAAAGGAAGTGTATATGCATCTTTGCTTGCTAGATAGCATAACAAATAAAGTATTGGGGATCAAATTTGCAGCCATGAACATGTAGCTGTTATATTTTAACACAATAATACCCTTACATTCCATGTGCATTAAAGTCATGACAATCTGGCACACACTGTCCGTTAAAAATGAAGTTTGTACAAGTCACACATTGAGTATTATTAGGTCCCCAGCACCAACCAAAAGCAGATGAACATTGAGGATGACATGTCATGTTTGTTTGAACTATTATAAAAAATAAAAAAATAGACTATAGACTATAGTTTACAGATCTATTACATGTAACAATGGTTAAATGTTAAGGCTAAAAGCACATTTAGGATTGTTCACAGTAGCAAAGTAAGTTTACATTGTTGTAATATACTCAATGCAATAGTAGAATCTGTTGAAGTATATTAGAATATTCACTGAAAAAACTTGTACTGTGTATTTAATTAATTGTACCTGTAACCACATTGTTTACATTATTGTTTATACATGCACAGTGTATTCTAGATTTATCTCTACATGCAGTGTTAATTCTGTACTCTTCTAGATTGCTCCATTCTTCTTTCTTCTTACACTAATCTTTATGTTTCTAGAACATTCTATAGCTAGACTATAAATTGAATCCTCAGTCTGTCTCTCTCCATCCTCTCTCACTCTCTCCCTTGTTTATTACACTCTTTCTCTGTTTATTTATTTATTGGTTCTGATTAAAGATAGACTATTTAGTAAGCTGTTAAGTCATCAACTGTATCTACATAAACTCATCAGAATCAAATAGAAAGTCTAATACCGTACGGTTGGTAATATTTGAGGGTCCAAAATTTCGTGTTTTCTCCAAAATGTCCTTAGAAGCTAATATTCGTGGGTACAAATATTCGTGGGTGGTAGTAAGCAAACTTCTTTTCACTTGGATCTGCTGGACTAGCTTCCAACACATGGCTTATGGTGGAATATGGAGTAACAGACAAAAATCACATTTGTATGACCCACAAATTCAAGAAGGGCAAAAGATATAACATAAGAGAGGTATTACCTAAAAATCTGCATCCAGTTTGTTAATCAAACAAATATTACTATTAAAAAAGAAATTGTAGCATGGTTCTATCTAGGTCAAAATGCAGTAAATGGCATTCCACACAGTATACAAAATGTACATCCAACAGGGAAATTACATAATGCTCACAACTATAGCTACCTACCTACCTAACAAATTGTCATGCAAACCTAAAATATTACTATAAAATTACAAATACATGTACTAATGCTAACCACAATCATGTATACTTCTTCTGTGATTATCCAACACACAAGATGATGATGATGCATTGGCCAGGTAGTAGCTCAAATTCCCAAGGTAACATAAAGAAGGATTATTCTCTAATCGTATACCACCATTGATGACTGATTCAAGGGATGAAAGATCAATGCTGACCAAACTAGTATCAGCTATTATAACAGAAAATTTAAATGAGTCACTTGATCCATTGCATGACTGTGATAAAACTTGAGTGGAATCATTACCAACAGTTTTCAAGTTAGATAAGTATGGAAAAGTCTTTTTATTGAAGCCACTAATATCCAGTGAGCCATGTATCTCTCTAATGTCATTGAGATCATTCAATATTGATGGACTAGAAAGATTTTTGCTACAAAATTTTTGCAATGTAAAAAACTAACTCAACA